TTCTCTCCCCCACTGTTTTTGATCCCTTTTCCCACTCTACCCCACAAAATGTCTCAGGTATATAGCTGTTCATCATTATCTTTATTTTCTCACCTTAAACATGGCTATTTTTTTGTCAATTTATTTTCTTCTTCAGTTTATTTTCTTGGAAATTACATTCTTTTTTGCCTTTTTAAAAATCCCTCCACCAACTACCTGTTCCCATACCTCATCTACCTACCTCCCCCATCATCTCCACCCTTTCCCCTATTACCATTATCTTCTTTTTGTAAAGTACAAGTTACCTATTTTTATACATACTTTTTTTGTATTTATATTTCAGAGATGAGCAAAACCATTTGATATCTTTCTTTCATTTGCTGACATGTTTCATTCAACATAATCACCTTGAGGTTATTTATTATTTATCCAAATAATATGCAAACTCTAATACAAAAAGATTTATCTATGCTTATGTACATAGCAGCACTGCTCACAATTGCAGTGATGGAACCAACCTAAGTGCCCTACAACAAATGAATGAATAGAGAAATTATGGAACATATACTCAATGGAATATTACACAGCTGAGAAGATGAATTTGGGTGAAATGTATGGACCTTGAGGTGTTTCTTTCTCTTTTTTATAACACAATAGTTTATTTTTACATTATTTTGTACTTTTTTTTTTCATCTCAAATGTAATCCCCATGGGTTTCCTATTACCAAGTCACCCATGTGCCATCACCATAGTCCGGTGCACTTCCCTCCCCCCACTGTTTTTGATCCCATTCCTCACCCCACCCCCATAAAATGTCTCTGGTATATGGCTGTTCATTATTCTTATTATTTTCTCGCCTGGTCCATTATACTCCTGCTACGAGCAAAACCATCCGATATTTTTCTTTTTCTTTCTGGCTTTATCTCACTAAGCATGATCTTTTCCAGCTCTGTCCAAACATGGCTATTTTTTTTTTTGTTTAGATTCTTTTTATTTTTTATTTATTTATTTTATAACAGTTTATTTTTTACATAATTTTGTACATTTTCTTTTTTTTTTCCATCTCAATTGCAATCCCCGCGGGTTTCCCATCACCAAGTCACCTGTGTGCCATCATCATAGTCCTGTGCACCTCCCTCCCCAGCCCCCGTTTTTGATCCCATTCCCACTCCACCCCCACAAAATGTCTCTGGTATATGGCTGTTCGTTATTTTTAGTATTTTCTCTCCTGGTCCATTATACTCCTGCTGTGAGTGACACCATCCGGTATTTTTCTTTCTCTTTCTGGCTTATCTCACTAAGCATGATCTTTTCCAGCTCCATCCAAGTTGTTACAAAAGACATGTGTTTCTTTTTTTTTTGGTTGCTGAGTAATATTCCATTGTATATATACCACATCTTTTTAATCCAGTCATCTACTTTTGGGCCAAAACATGGCTATTTTTCCCCCCACTTCTTTAGATATTTTTTATTTTTATTTTATAACAGTTTATTTTTACATCATTTTGTACATTTTTTTTCCCCATCTCAATTGTAATCCCCACGGGTTTCCCATTACCAAGTCACCGTGTGCCATCACCATAATCCTGTGCACTTCCTTCCTCACCCCCCTGTTTTTGATCCCATTCCCCACTCCACCCCCGCAAAATGTCTCTGGTATGTGGTTGTTCATTATTTTTGTTATTTTCTCGCCTGGACTATTATACTCCTGCTATGAGTGAAACCATCTGGTATTTTTCTTTTTCTTTTTCTTTCTGGCTTATCTCACTAAGCATGATCTTTTCCAGCTCCATCCAAGTTGCTGCAAAAGACATGTGTTTCTCTTTTTGGTTGCTGAGTAATATTCCATTGTATATATGTACCACATCTTTTTTATCCAGTCATCTACTTTTGGGCATTTGGGCTGCTTCCATGTTTTCCCAATTGTAAATAAAACAGCAGTAAACATGGGGGTGTAGGTATCTTTTTCAATCAGTGTTTTTGTGTCTTTTGGGTAGATACCTAGGTGTGGGATTGCTGGGTCGTAGGGAAGCTCCACAAAACATGGCTATTTTAAAGAAACTTTTGTGGCTACAATAGGTGGGAAAGGTAGAAACTACAAGATGTTCTCGGAACTGAGAGGAGACAAGAACTTAGAGTGGGTGTTCATTTGACTGATAACAAGAACTTTTGTCTTTCTAGATAATCCAGGTATGTCAAAATATCAGAATTTAGCAAGAATGACTTGTAATTACTCAGTGGGTTGGAGTGGCATGATAAAATCTGGTGACTCTTCTTGACTTACTCTACATGCTCCTGCCCAATCGGTGGAAGGAAAATGGGTTACTGTATCACTGCTCAGTTATTTGGGGGGCTGGAAACCCTTTTTGGATTTGGAAATTTGATTGCAATATTGATAGTACCCCCCCTTCCTCACTTGTGATTATCCCTAAAGCTTTGTGGCTAAGAGAGTTTTAGCTCTAGCCAACATTGCTTATACATCTTAGGTATTTAAGTTTTGCAGTATCTTCTCTAGAGTAGTAAAAGTTAAGTGATATGAGTCCATTTAATTACTGGACAAATTGCATCTAAGGAGAATTAGGAATGCTTACTTAAATTAACACCAAATTGGCAGTTTCCCCCCTATTTCTGGCACCCCTCCTCCACACACCAGTTCCACCCCCTGCAGATACCCAGTTTATCTCAAAGTTCTAACTAGTGACATTCATTTAAGTCAAATTTTAAATGAGGAAGTACCTTTTCTGTAGCTATGATTACTTAGGATAGAGTGAATTAAAATACCTTGTTGAAATTCTGTTAATGCACATGTAAAATGTGTTTTGGTATTAAGGTTTTTTTTGTTTCAAGAATATGAGTGTTGAAAAAATGTAAGTGGTTTATTTTTAAAAAGTTTATTTTTTGGCCCTCCCTGTGGCGCAGCGGGTTAAAGCACTGAACTAAGAAGCTTAAGCCAATTCTGCATGAGTTCGATCCCCGCCTGCCCCGGAGGTGACCACATGGCGTGGCAGACCTCTCCTGACCCGCCCGCTGCTCCCCTCAGCAGTGTACTTCGTCGATCTGCCTGTTCTTCTTCCCACTCTGTCTCTGGTGAAGTCTTTCACCCTCCGCATCTCTGGCCTGTACCCCAGTTCTGGATGAATAATAAATAAATCTTTAAAAAAAAAGTTTATTTTTAAAAAGTTTAAGGAGCTATATGTTGCCTGTTATGTCTTTGTATAGCATTGTGAGAAGTTTTTTTTTTTGGTGTGGCTTTAATCAGTCTCTGATTAATATTACATGCATGTCATGTAATATTGAGGTGAGCACCATTATCGTAATCATTCCTAATAAACTACACTAGGATTTCTTCCTGAAAAGTATTTAGTTCATTTAAGAAGTATTTGGGAAAAAAACTTTTTTTGCACCTGCTATGGAGATAGTGCAGTGAACCCAAAATTCCAGCAAGCTTAAAAAAAAAATTCACATTAATCATACAGTCTAGTGCTAAGACAGACAAGTCAAATTTTATGTAGTCAGTTAAGTGTTCTGATCTAAATATTAAAAATTAGGCTTTGTTGTTATAATAGTAGCTGTAATCGTAGCTGTAATGCTTTTTCAAAGGAAATTCATGTCAGCCTTCACATCAAAACAATCTTCCATTTATAACTAGATACAACCTTATTTAAAGTGAGGGAAGAAAACTCATTTCGAGACAAACCTTGCTGTAAATTTCAAACCAAAGAAGTAGGCTAAGTAAAAGCTTAAAAGATGCCACATAATATTCTTTACTTTAAGAAATTGCTTAAAGTTCAATGTGAAATTGCCATAAAAATTTATTCGGTGTCTTCTTAATGGTTCACTGTGTCCTAAGGACCAGAAAACATTTTCAAGAGACCACAAAATTTGCAGTTAAATTGATGAATAAGGAGTTTACTAAAAATTAATAGAAATTTAATTTAACTGTCACAAAGAAAAATGTGACAGTTCTTGGATGATAAGGACATTTAAGTTAGATTTATACAATGATACATATACCTCCACTTTATACTACTACAACCTTATATATAGTTACTGTTTTAATTTCAGTTAAATAATGTGCAAAGTGCAATAATAAACTAAAGGGGAAGTGGGGAAAACAGTTTCAAATTGTACCTTTTTCAGCTCTATGGAGATTTAGAAGTACTCACTTCTGAGCAAAAAATATGCACTGGAACAAGGACAGTTTCTTCAATAAATAGTGTTGGGAAAACTGAACTGTTACATATAAATGAGTGAAGCTAGACCACTACCTCATACTGTGCACTGAAATCAACTCAAAATGGTTGACATAAGACCTGAAACCATAAAGGGACTGTGGTGATGGTGTAGAGGTGAATTGGTGGTGGGAGTTGCACAGGGACTATCCCTGAGAAGAGAAAGTATACATTCTACAAAAAGAAAAAAATCTGAATGAAAAAATATCTTGATTCTTTCTACACTTTTTATTGTCCAGGCATTGTTAGATCACTTATGCTAGTCTTAAATTCAGTGCTTGAGGTAGAATACCAGCTATGTTCTCTCTTCATTTTGCTAGCCTGCTTTGTGCATATTCTATTATCACAAACCCACTAAAACTGTACAAGGAAGTTGTCTGAAAGAGGTCAGCTTCAAGATAGAACTTCAGTGTTTTAACTTGGGCTGTGTGTCTAGTGACTGTGCTGTGCACAAGGAGGAAACGTGTCAATGTGATGATGTGTAATGTGACTAATCTATGCAGCGTTTTTCTCCAACCTTGGGGATCAAATGGCTGTGGCTTTAGCATTTTGCTGGGCCCCTTTATTTCTTGTTTAGACATAGGAAGTGAACTTAAACTCAAAGGTTATGGGAGAGGCAGGAGAGAAAACCACATGTATGGTTTCTTTGGTACCCCTTTCCTCATTCAACTGTCCTTTTTTTGGGCTCTTTTCCTTCATGGTCACTTGGCAATTTTCAAACATAGTACTGCCCCTTGCTAATAACTTAGGTAACTCAAAATTGATAATTTTCTCTCTCCTTCCTGATAGGTGCTGGATAATTTACTAGTACAGTATGGAGTGGTGGAAAACTGTGAGCAAGGTACATGTCTTGTCAATTGCTTTTAAATTTGTAAAAGGAAGAAAGTAGAAAGTAAACTAATCATCTTTTTTCTGTTCATTTTTTCTCTTCCTGTAGTGAACACTGACTCGGAAACTGCAGTCGTAAATGTAACCTATTCCAGTAAGGACCAAGCTAGACAGTAAGCAGTTTGAAACTTTTTATCTATCTGTAATAACTAGGTTAAGTTGAGTAACAAATTTTGGGTAGAAGAAATAAACTATTTTTGTGAAGTATTACCTTGTTCATTAAGCTTGAATGTAATAAGAATGTTCATTGGTTCAAGTTTTATTATGTTTTAATTGTTGGTATCTTTTAAACCAATAATGAAGTGATAAAGTGTGAAGCTTGATTTCACCCTATTTACAAAAAACTCCAGGGTTGATTGTGTAGCAAACTTACATAGACTTTTTTCTTGTTTGTATGATATATACCTTCTTGGTATTTTTGTCCAGAGTTGATTTTCTTTTAAACTAAGTGTTAAATTTTTCTGCTTGCTCCTGCTGCTTGTATATTTTTGCATGCTTATTTAATGATTACTTTGTTGTATAGGAGTGTGCCGTTGAGTCATTATTTTCAGATGGTTAGAAACAGTATAGTCCAGTACAATCGATAGGTAATACTTCATAGATCAGTCTCCCCTAGAAAATGATTGTCTTGGAGGTTTAGAAATGATTTAATGAGCTGACTGAATATTGGGGAGACAGAGTGAGTGTCCCACAGATACTACTTTTGACAGACCTGCTCAGAACACAGACCTGGAGCAATGGTCCCTGAAGTGCTCAGCATCTAACTAAGCATGATGCTGAGTCTCAGTCTACTGTTCGCTGTGAAGCGACCATGCTGGCTGGCCCGGAGCCCCAAAGGGAAAGGTGAGGTCAGCTCTAAGAGTAGGACTTGCGCTGGGTTACTAAAGGCAAAGCTCACTCATCCAGGGATTATGAAAGGTAGGGCTGGGAAGGCAATGGGAGTGTACATGATACAAATGTATTTTAAGAAAATGGTAATATTCTTATGGTTAAATTTTTTTTAAGGTCTGAAAAGGTTTATCTTTATATCGCTATACCTCTGTGTGTGTGTGTGTGTGTGTGTGTGTGTTTGTGAGTGTGTGTGGTGTGTGTATAACAGATCTTCCAGTAGTATCCCCAACTACCACATTCTCCAACTGGGAGATAACTACCTGGAAGACAGATACATGCATGTATTTTCCTTCTTTATTTACACAACTAATACTATGAAGTCATAGTATTAGAATGCTTGTACATGAATCAATTTTTGCAGTAGTGTAGAATTTGCTTGTTATTGTGAACACTGCTGTAGTAAATCCCTTTTGCTTGTGTCATTTCAAGTAGACTTACTGAGTCAAGTTTATGTACATCTTTATAATTTTGTTAATGGCGAGTTATCCATAGAACTTGAACTGGCTTAAATTCCCTTCTGTTTTTTGTGAGAGTCCATTTCTCTGTATTTTCCTAGTATAGGGCTTTATCAATTTGCTAATCTAGTGGGTGGAAATAGTATCTAATGATGTTAATTTTTTCTCATAAGTGAGATGTGAGATTCACTTTTAATGTTTTAATATTGGATTTTAATTGTATTTGGAAATACTCTTTTTCTTCAATTGCACCATAAAGCTTTTAATTTAATGAGGTTTTTGGACATTAGAAATTGTGATGATCCATTAAACAAACTGACTCATTATTAAATTTATTCTCAAACCAAATGAAATAAGATGAACGGAAACATTTTCTGTTTTATATTGCTAATAGATTGGGGTCTAAAAGTGAGGGCAAAGAGAAAGCAGAGATTTTGTCTTATATAATCAGTACCTGGTAGGATTAGTTTTTTGTTGTAGGGGAAATGTGGGCTGATACACTAAACTCAACAATAATTGGAAATTATGTGAGACCTGTCTTATTGTTTTCTTTGAAAACATGTGACATCAAAAAGGAAAATGCTTACTTTAACAGTTATAATTTTATAGTAGAATGCATGTTGGAGATAAAATCTACATAGCTTTGGAGAGTCATAATGCAAACTTTTGTGGGGACACATTGGCATTTCATATCCACCCTCCCATTTAAAAAAAATTCCTCAGAGCGTACTAACAGGACAAGCATAAGAGGGGTGAATGGGCAAGTCAAGGCAGAATACTGCTGAAAATATCAGTTAACATGATAGCAAGCTGAACTTTTAATTCTAAAAATACTTTGCAGTAATTGTTATACTTTGGCAGAGTCCTGTTAATCCCAAGGAGGGACAAAAAGACTTTTAGGATGTTGTAATTTATCTACTTAGATAATCTAAACAAACAAATAGGAAAATAAAACAAATTTTATTTAGGAAAATAGTCATCATTACTATCAACTGACTTATGATTCAATACCAACTATTTATTGAGAACCAACTATTGACCAAAAATGTCCAATGAGTAAAGACAAAATCCCCATCCTCCCTTCATTGATGATGAAAGAGCTTTTGGAGACCTTACCACCTGATAGATATTATTTCATGCCCAAATCAAGTTGTATTAAAGGAATACTGAGGTTTCTCCTCACCCAGGAATTAGAGAGCAAAGAGAATTTGAAAATGATTGATTATTCAAAGAGAATTTAATAAACTTAGAGTTGAAAATGAGTTTTATAGTGTGATAGGAAAATTGTCTATTAAATTTTTCTAGTAATATTTTTTTTTTAACAGAGTGCAGTCTCACTTGTAGGAATTTATTCTGAGAGGCATTAGGTAAGAGTGGGAGAAGTGTGGACCCTGGCGTTAGGCAGCTCTGATTCTCCCTAACATCTCTGTGCTTATTTTCTCAGATACAAAATGAGAACTGAGAAGAAACAAATATATTCATGCATATATCACTTATTTAGGAAATGGTCTAATCAAATGATCTGGCAAAAAGGCACCTAGTTGATAGTAAACTAGTTACTCTAACCACTGGCTCTGGGCTTCTTCTAAAGCAACTAGAGTTTGGGAAGGCTGGTCCCTCCTGGCGGGACTTGCTCCACTGAGCCCAGCGAGCCTGCTCTGTGTCTGCGTGAGCTGCTAAACCAACCTGATTTCTCCATACCCTTTCCCTGGCAAAGCCATCCAAAGCTCACCCCTTGAGGTATTTAGTGAGGGGTGAGTAGACATTCTTAGTTTCTTTCTTCAGTATCAGTTGTTTGGGACTCTGTGCTTGTGAATAGAACATCAAGTTAAGGGGATACATTCCAGAGTCTAATTATACTTTTCTAGATGTGACTTTGGTCAAATTAATCAGTGTACAGATGGAACTACTTTTCCACTTGTAAAATGGGAAGTAATTACAGCCCTTAGCTTATGAGTCTGTTGAGAAACTAAGGTAATGTTTCCAAAATACTTCTCAATACCAAAAGGTATTAAGATCTCCAAAGGTAGCAGCAGTTGTGCATTTTCCCAACTTTTTTTTAAATTGATAATACCTTATTATTTTACATGTATTTCACTTCAGACTACTGGCCACTGATACTCAGGAGTTAGGGATCTAGTTTAAAAACTTTTGCGATTGCTTCTTTTTGTTAACTAACAGCTGTTAACACCACTTCTAAGGGGATAATGATTCCACAATAAAGCTGTATCTCTAAGATGGAATATAGTATGGAAATTCCTGCCACCTTGTGGCTAAGAAAAATCAAAAGTTAATTGCACATACATTACTAGAAAATACATATGGATGTTTAAACCTTAAATCTTGAATTAATAATTTAGTAAAGTAATGATAAAATCATTAAAACTAATGAAAAAAGTAATTAAAACAGAATTATATGCTTAGTATTTCTTCCTTGGAGCAAGCAAGGTTTGGGTCTTTGGCATGCCTTCTGTCTTCCAGAAAGCTCAGAGAACATAGTCAAGGTCAGATATTATTCACTTTTGTAACATGGGACAAAAAAATGACATTTTTAAAGTATGGAAGCATTTAGCTCTTATGCTTTGTTTTCCTTACTCTTATTTCTGATGTTTATCTTTGTTAGGTATAGGACTATTTATATTTTGAGGCTATCAGTGCAGATCCTTTTAAAAAAAAAAAAAGATCTAGGCATACAAGATGTGGGGTGTAGACCAGAGGTACAGGAGGTGAGAGAATTCACCAGAGACAGAGTGGAGAGCAGGACAGACAGATCCACCAAAATACACGCCTGAGGGGAGCAGCGGATGAGACCAGAAAGGTCTGCTGTGCCATGTGGGCCAGCTCCCTGGCGGGGGATCAAACTCATGCCACAGTGACTGGTGATAGCCTGATAGTGCCAAAAATCTAACCCCTATGCCACCAGGGAGGCCCAGTGCAGCTCCTTTTCTAGCAGTTAGAGGAACTCACAAAGCCGTAGTTGGAGATGTTTGAGGCAGCATAGGAAATTCTCTCTTAAGCTTTAAAATTTATGTAAATAGATGATTATGGATAAGGAAATAACAGGTAAAACAGTGTGACAAAGAAATTCCATGCCATTCAGAGCTAGCCACCATTAAGTCCTTGAGTCTTGTTGACTTTGTCCCACATTTCTTTTTCTTTTTTTTTTTTTTTTTTTTACATTTCAGAGTAGAGGTATTACAGTTTCATTTACAACTATATTTACAACTATATCTAGTATATAGAGTTTATGGTTTATCAGAGATTTCACTTCTTAGAATATTCCTTTTCCTATCTGTTTCATATATATGAAAAGGTCTTTATTTCTGAAGTAGCAGGTGCCTCATGGTAAAGGGGCAGCAAATCTAGAACCAGAGTGCAGTTATACAGTTAGTAACCACCATTTGTTTTCCACTGAACATGGCAGATTCTTGCCTAGCTCCTCCTAGGGTCCCCTACAGACCAGATGTTGTCCCAGCATAGTGCAGTGGGAAACTGTGAAAGACTTGACCATAAAGTGGGGCTCTACCCCAGGTCCTCCATTTTAATAACCTCTTCCCTCTGTGTGCCCTAACCTTTTAAGTTACAGAGTTCATCCCGTGGGGTTTTGTGGGTTATCTTACCATAGCTGTATTTGTACTGGTGGTAATCTCTCTGCAGCATCTCTTACCACAGTCTATGTATTCATACCTGCTTCACATCTATATATAGATTGTTGGCAGTGTTTGCTTTTAGAATCCGTAGTAGATATAATGAAATCTTTGTAGGTAAATATTTAGGCTTTGTACATTATTAATTTATGATGCATCCCTGCAAGGATTATTCCCAGGCAGTCAGTAGTTATCACTAAATTATATTCTCAACCACTTATCCTTGGTACAAGGAGCAAACAGTTTTCCAATATCTCAGTAATGTATAAACATGTTGTTAGGACCCTTGTGTTATATACAGTATTTAGGTTTGGGAATAGGCTAAAAAGAGGCTTAAACATGTAATTTTAGGGTTGGAAGGAACTGTAAATGTAATCTTCCAGTTTTGTAGGTATGTTAATGCCTGCCAAGGAAATGACCTCTTATTGTTACTGCCTACTTACTGCTCTAACTGGGCTTGAATTCTGGTCTGTAGCCCATCCCCATTTTTTAGTCCTCACATCTGGATGTGTGTACCCTTGGATATATTTAATTTCTTTGTGTGCCATTTCTTCTTTCCCCTCCCTCATCACTGAGTTACACCACCTATGTGAAAATACCCACTCAGTGCCTGCCCTTTTAGCTGAAACTGTGATATACCCAGTAAACTTAAAAATAAAATTAAGGGCTACAAATTAGTAAAACTACTAAGCATTTTCCTAATTCTCAAAAATAGTGTGAGAGCTGTCAAGTAATGATAGAAAACAGGAGTTAAACAAATGTTGGATAAACATTTTTGAGTTGTGTTGATTGGACTCATGTTTTGAATAGTTATAATTGCTCATCATATGTCTTGCATATACAGTAGTTTAATGAAAATATTATGTTTTTCCCATGAAATCAGCAAACCACCAAATGACACAGCTGAATATTAAGATTTATGCCTAGAAAAGTTTCAGTGGTTGACTGAAAGTTCAGAAATGTAGGCTCTTTAGTTATGAGAAATCCATGACTTGCAGTTTGAATTTTCAAGTGTTTCCAGTGTTGAAGCACTGTGGCTTGAGGACTCAGGGTCTCTGCATAGTGAGCAGTTGGATCCCAGGACACAATATGTGCTGTATTCGCTTTAACAAACAACCTGAGTTTGTTGCCTTTGGGCCCAGATACTGCACTGGGGACTGGAACACTGGATATTTGACCTTCTGAATGAGAATCTTACTCCCTCAAAAAAGTACAGTGTAGTTTGCCAGTTCTAGTTTATGTCAATTGAGAGCATAGTTTCTTGGGATCTAAAGACTCCATGTTTATCTGTTTAGCCCATACAGAAGGATGTCTGTTGTATCCTTCTGTGTGTCTCGCAATCAAAAAACAAGTAGTTTACCCTTTTTGGGTAACATTATCAGCAATTCCATAGTTAAAGTTTACTTACTCTCTTCTGAACCTGGCAACACTGTTTAATAGTAAGAAAAGAGATTGTGGTGAACTGTATTATCTTTTTTATCTGTAGGAGTAGTTGATTCCTTCATTGGCTTTAGTTGTTTTTTTTTTTTAAAGGTTTATTTATGCCTACAGAACTTGGGGTACTGGCCAGAGTTGGCACGGGTGGTGACAGGATTCACCAGAGACAGAGTGGGGAGTAGAACAGGCAGATAGACAAAGTACACTGTGGGTCAGCTCCCTGGCAGGAACAAAACTCATGCTGCAGTGGCTGCAGATAGCTTCAGAATGCTGTGATTTAACCCCTTGCACCACCAGCAGGGCCCTGAAAGTTCCCCCCACCCCCTAATTTATTTATTTAAGATTTATTTATGCTTACAGAACTGGGGTATAGGCCAGAGGTATGGTGGGTGACAGGATTTACCAGAGACTGAGTGGGAAGCAGAACAGGCAGATGGACTGAAATACATTGCTGAGGGGAGCAGCAGGCGAGTCAGGAGAGGTCTGCCGCGCCATGTGGGTCACCTCTGGGCCGTGGATCAAACTTGCAGTGACTCAGCTGGGGCTGCACTTTAACCCACTGTGCCACCAGGGAGAGCCCGCAATTCTAACTTCTACAATGGATATATTATCAACATTAATTAAACTTTCAGTTTTAGTTTCCTTTAGAAATAACCAATATATTTTAGGGTTTTAACCTATGTTTCCCTTAAGAAAAAGGGAAGTGGGAAGAAGCAAGGAACAGTATGTTGTTAGGATACTGGTAAAGTCAGTCATGCTATGTGCCATGCTGTGTGAAGCTTATGAGAAAAATGCCCTGACATAGAATTCACATGGAGGTATTCTGTGATATCGTGTGTTTGGAGATGAGCAAGCCACAAGCTATGTGGGATGTGCCATCCTATGTATGCCATCCCAGTTATGCTTTTAAATAGGGCACTAAAACTGGTTTATTTGCAGAGGTTAATGATTCTGAAAAGGATCTTAGAGAACTGAAGATGGTAACAAAAATTTCTAGTTACTTTTTTATTTCTGGCTGACTGGGATCTCTTATATGAGAATTCAATCATGTGCTGGGGTGTGGGACAGCAATATAATATACTGAAATGAGAAAAGATTGCAGAATCCTGCTTTCTCAGATTGGCAACCGATTGTGCCTTGGCCAGCCTTCCAGCTCCAGGCCCTTTGGTGTCCTTTTTGATGCTAGGACCATCTTTCTTCCCTTCCACCCTCCCACTCCTTCCCATCTAAGCACAAAAATGAAATATCTTCAAGTGAAGAAAGTAGAATGTGAACCAAAAATGTCTACTCTGAGCAGTTAGGGAGAGTATTTCATGCCTGTTTTGTTTCCCTGCCTGAGCTGAAATCAGGGCCTGTTTTGATCAGATTCTGAACAAAGTATCTGAGTAACCCTGAACTGTAAGGGAAGAGAGGGACCTTTATTTTTCATTTTGTGGTGGACTGGGATGCTTGTGTTATTAAAATTTTTGTGGACTTTTGACATTTTGGTCATATCTTTATCAAATTTTTAAATTCAGTTCTGTACTTTTAAAATATGGAAGTAAGGTAGACCACATGACTTGGGTGAATCTTACAGATGAAATAAGTAAACAGTGAGTGAGTACCAAACAAGTGCACTCATGTGCTTATTTATATAGAATTTGCAAACAGCAAAGTTAGTCTTTGGTGCCAGATGTCTAGGGGAGGGCCTTTACTGGAAGGAGGCACTGGTGTGGCCTTTGGGACACTACTGTATTTTAATTCTAGATCTGGGTATTCATGTTCACCCTGTGAAAGGTTGAGATGTATGCTTCAGATTTGAGTACTTTTCCATAGTAAGATTCAAAAGTGAGAAGAAAAATAAAGCTCTTCTCAAAGTGGGCAGGTAAGGTAGGAAATGGCTTCATGTTTTTGTTAGTATACTAATACCCTAATCTCACTGTTCCAACTCATTAACTCTGCCAGGCCAGGGCCTGCGGGCTTCTAGTTTATAACAGGACCAAGACTTTATTTGAATGATCATTCTGAGCATTCAAACAATCTCCTATAAGTGGCTTAAAGATATTATCATAAAATGTTCTAATTATGTTTTTGAGAAGGTGAAGTGAGGGTGGTATAGTGGTATATTTTTCTGATGTCTTTTTCTGTTCTGATTTGGAAAGACTAGCCAAGGATGAAAACTCTTCATGTGCTTTGGGTTCCTCCTAAGCTGTACCAACTTTGTGGGTTATAGTTTAAGCAAAAGTTTAGCAAAAACTTTGTCTTTTCTGTTTTTTCATTGGTTGATGACAGATGAGTCCTTTCAAAACTTCAAAACTTGACTCCCCCCCCCCCCATCTGTACTAGAAAGGGAAATTTGGGGGAAAGTGGGGCTTGTTGTATGTTCTGGGTTTAGTTCTTGTTCGGTGACTATATTCAGAAAATTTAGAGCCAATATAATCCCTAATGGAAGAGGAGATGGATGCTGTTTCACTGAAAGATTTATCATCTAGCTCTCCCCACACCCTGCTCCCTGTCGACTTACAGAGCACTAGACAAACTGAATGGATTCCAATTGGAGAGCTTCATGTTGAAAGTGGCCTACATCCCTGACGAGGTGTCCGCCCAGCCTACCCCCTTGCAGCAGTCCCGAGGTCGCCGTGGATTTGGCCAGAGAGGTTCCTCGAGGCAGGGGTCTCCGGGATCCGTATCCAAGCAGAAGCCCTGCGACTTGCCGCTGCGCCTGCTGGTTCCCACCCAGTTTGTTGGAGCCATTATAGGGAAAGAAGGTGCCACCATTCGGAATATCACCAAACAGACTCAGTCTAAGTGAGTATTCTTGAGTACAAGTCGGGTGTCAATGTTTTCCCCTTAGAATAATAGTAGCAGAGAATGTTGTTCTGTCCTGGCACTTGGGTCTTTCTGAATATAGTTATGCCCCTTTTTTGTGCAGTACTTGGGAATCCAGAAGACACTTGTGATTTGATATCTTTGTGTTCATTGTATATAAATCTGGGTTTAAATTTTTACTTATTTTTTATTAAATATAATAGTGTATTCTTACATCATTTTGTACATTTATTTTTTCCATCTCAATTGTAATCCCCGTGGGCTTCCCATCACCGAGTCACCCATGTGCCATCACCATAGTCTCATGCATTCCCCCCCCCTCATTTTTGATCCCATTCCACCTCTGGGGTTAAAATTTAATCTCAAAGGGAACCTCAAATTTGCACACATGAATGGGAAACAAGTGATACCTAATCTACGTCGAACAAAAGGGCAACTTCTAGATTGTTCTCTACTCCCTTTCCATTCCTCCTACTTTAGTGATGCTGCTTTCAGTGTTTCTGGAAGTAATTTTCTGGGTCCAGTACAGAGATTTCAGTCCTGATAGCTTATGGTTCAAATTTATTCCATGTTAGGCCACAGTTACAAATGACTTTTTCTTTGGGATGCTGTTTGATAGTTTTAATTTGCAGATTTTGAGGAATTGGAAAATTTTCAAACATTTGAGCTAACTTTTCAGGAGCAGAAAGTATCAACTATTTGCCTGATCAGTAGAAGGCTCTGATACTTGTCAAGCGAGTGAAATGACTGTGTACATTCTATTAATGCCTTTAACACATCTAAGATGCAGTCTTACTGTAGATGATCCAGGGCATTGCATCAGGTGCTGTGTTTGACTAGTCATCCTGTTAATGCTGTCACTTGACTGAAGAAGTTTGGTGAACTTACCTTACCCTCCCCTAGTTATGTAAGGTGCTACCAGGCACATCTCTGGATCTACTGCTACCATATTACCTGAATACCTGTAAGTGTACTAAGAGAAAAGAGGCTGTGGACAAATGTCTTTTGTCTTCTTTCTTAAAAAAGGGTAGGGGAAATGGCCTTGGAATTCTTTTGCTTTTTTAATTGAAGAGAATGATTTTCTGTGGCCCAAGGAATTAAATAGTGTCTTTCTTGAAAATGGAACTGTGGTGCAAGGTATACCTTTTTTGTTTTGTTTTTATTTTTAAAATTCATTTATATATTTTACATCATAGTTCATTTAAAAAAAATGTTCGCTTTCCTTTCCCAGGTGTAGTCCCCATAGAATTCCACCACCAGTTCACCTGTGCTCCATCACCACAGTCCCTTGTGCTCTTTTCACCATGGTTTTGGCCCCTTTCCTTTCCTCTCCCCTGCAGAATGTCTCTGATTTACAGTTCTTGGTTTATGTTGGTTTTGCTGTGTTTTTTATTGTATTTTTTCCCCTGATCCCTTATTTGGTTCTCCTGTTTTCCTCCTATAAATGAAACCAGCTATTTTATTTTCTTTCTAACTTATTTCACTGAGCATAACCCCCAGTTCCTTGTTGATGAGGATACCCATATTCATTATAGGCATCAGGCGTTAGTGAACTGACTCACTTCTCACATGGAAGCAAAGGAATTGTTTTTAGGGCTGGTTGCATGCCCACTCTGCCTGGGGTGTGATGGTTGACCTGCCTCCACTGCATTGAAGCAGTTGTTGGTGCCAGTCACCTTTGCACAGTCAGTGGCCTCAAACTCATGATAAAGGGATGGGGGAAGGAGTTGAAACATAGTTCAGATCATTTTAATGTTAAATTTTAATCAAAATTTAAAGTTAATCTTTCTTCCCTTGATCCACCTATTTACCTGCAGAAACTAATTATTAAATGTTTCCCTTCTTTTTTACATGGCAAATTACAGTTGTTCCTTTTACCACTACTTATTTCCTTGTCAGAAGAAAGAGCGTCTGTGATTTAAGTTTAACTTTTGTTTTATTTAAGGCAGGAAGATGGAGGATGGAGAGGGAAAGGAAGTACTTTTGTTATATCGGATGATTCATTTGCAAAGCTCTGCCAGTGGATTTTAATTAACTCTTGCTATTGAAACTAATCATTATCAGATCCTCTGTTTCTGGAATGGCCTCAGAGGGCCACCTAATCTGTAAGACAACATTCCCTTCTCCAAAGGATCAGAATTTAGTAATCCTTAACACGGTGAATCAAATGCAGGGAGTATAAAATGTTACCTACTGGAAGATAAGCAATTCACACACTGAGTTGGAAAGATGGTTCGTGAGATGGGGACTTGCTGTCTCAGACATGTTATTTCTAGATAGCCCTTAATGCCTCATTTCTGTATTAACCTATTTTTTCATATTTGTCAAAAACCATAGGGTATACTCAGGGGTTTGTCTTTGAATATTGTTTCATATATCTCTCTCTCCCCTCCAAATAAAATCAAAACATGGACATGGCCTTAATTGCTGTCTCTTAAAATTGGGTGAACTGGGCCCTCCCTGGTGGCGCAGCGGGTTAAAGCACTGCACTGAGAATCTAAAGCCGCTTCCGCATGAGTTCAATTCCCGCCTGCCCTGGAGGTGACCACATGGTGTGGCAGACCTCTCCTGACCCGCCCGCTGCTCCCCTCAGCAGTGTACTTCGTCGATCTGCCTGTTCTGCTCCCCACTCTGTCTCTGGTGAAGCCTCTCACCGCCCCTGAGCCTCTGGCCTGTACCCCAGTTCTGTATGCACAAATAAATTAATTTTAAAAAAAAAAAAAAAAAAAAATTGGGTGAACTGATTCCTCACACCTTATACCTCTTTTCAAAAACTTTAGCTATTCATGGTCTTTTGCGTTTCCATATGGTATTGAAAATAAACATGTTTGTAGCTAGCACTAATCTGTCTGGGATTTTGATAGGTCTGTCAATTTGGAGAAGAATAATAACTACTATATTGACACTTCTAACATATAAACATATGTACTCCATTTATTTATCAGTACATGAACATCAGCTAGCTTTCACCATGCAAATCCTGTCCATTTCCCCCTAAATTTATAACTACATAATCACTGCAGTCAAATTTTTAGAATCTTTCACGTTTATAGACTATTGGACTTACCATGTATTCCCTCCTCTAACCTCAATTTCCTTTATTAACAACATGTTAAGGTTGTACAGTTAGAATAGATATGGACACATTGTTTTAGTCTATTTTGCATTAGGTGTCACTATGTTGTACAACTCCATAGATTTTGATAAATGTCTGATGTCATAAATTCTCCATTACTGTATCAAATAGAATAATTTCACCACTCTAATATCACCCTATGCTTCACATTTTTTTTTTTTTTGGAGTGGCCCCATTAAATTCTTGAGTAGCAAATAATTTCATACTGCCCTTTATTTTATTGATATGACTTTGGTTTAAGAAGGTAACATTGGTGTACAACACTGCATATGATTTAGGGGGTATAGGTTCACACATCTTAAATGTATGCTCCCTGCCATAACCACCACCTAAGTACCTGTAACTTTCTACCCTTGGGCCTCCCCCTCCCACCACCCCCTATCTGGGAATCCCCTACTGGTCAGATTTCTAGAGTTTATTTTGGTTTAGTTGTGTCTGTTGCCTTTGTTTTGTTTCTTTACATTCTCTCGTATGAGGAAGTCATTTTGCATTTCTTTCTCCTCCTTAGTTTAATGGTTGCACTTATTTTTAGTTATAAGTATATATTTAAATATTTAAGGTTTATTTCTGATATATCTGCAGTTTTTAACCAAATATATATTTTTAAGATTTTTTTCTGCAAACAAGAACTGGGGTACAGGCCAGAGGTTCAGGGGTGAAAGTATCACCAGAGACAGAGTTGGGGAACCAAACAGGAGATCCTCTGAAATAACACTGCTGAGGGCAACAGCAGATGGGTGAGATCTGCTGTGCAATGTGGGTCACCTCCCAGGCTGGGGATCAAACTCATGCTGCAGTGCCTGTAGATAGCTTCATAGTGCTGTGCTTTAAACCGATTGTGCCAAGGAGGGCCAATCAAATATTTAAGAAAATGAAATGAAACCTTAATAGCTTGAAGTTCGCTCCTTCTCATAGCTGTGAGTTATGTAGTTCTTTGTCTTCCAGTGTTTGGCCAAAGGGACTAGCAAGTATTTTCCCCTAACACACTTTTTTTGATAGTTGACTTTTGTCATCTTGGGCTTTCTAAACAACAGAGTGTCTATGCATTTAATTAAAAGTGTACAAGTATGTAAATAAAGGGAATAATAAGTTGGGGATATATTTTTTGAAAAGTCATGATGTTTGTTTTTCAAGCAAAATTCCATCGTGACTTTGACAACCCAGTATTTTCATAGCTCTTGTTTCTACTAACAGCTATAGCCTTAAAAGAGAAGCCATATCATAAGTTTGTATTACTATTTTCACTTAAGATCAAGCACCCCTTACTATGCTTTTATATCCATAGTTATACCACATTTTAAAAACACCTGTCTATGTATATACTCCTGTTCTCTCTTCTGGGTGCACATTTAAAGATAATCTCCATTTTCTACTACAGATAGTGCTACCACAAACACCCTCAGGCCAGTGTTTTCAGCCAGTGGTGATCCGCCCTCCCCTCAACCCACTGTACATGGGTAATACCAGGAGACATTTTTGTTTGTAACAACTGCAGGGGGATATGCTGCTGGCTCTAGTAGTCTAGGGACACTACTAAACAACCGAGCACACAGGACAGCCTCCTCAACAAAGTTACTGTGGTCCAAAATGTCAGCAGTGGCAAGGGTAAGAAATGTCACTTTTCACCCAGTAGTGCCACTTCATGTAGATTTTACAAGAAGTAGAATTCTTGAGTTAAAAAGAGATAAGCATTTCAGCTTTGATAGGTCCTGCCAGTTCTCACCAAAAGTTTGGGTGTGTCCTGTTACCCATTTTCTTGCCGTTAATTACCAATCAAAATATTTGCAGGTCTGGAAGTAATTCATACTGTTTTAATTAGTGTGTGTATGTTTAGAGGCCATTTGCTTTTAAGTAACTGCCACCTATCTGGGTTCCGTTCCTGTCACTACTTGCTGGGAACTTCCTGTCTAATCAAAACATAGAGCAGAGCCTTGAAAAAGGCAACAGACAGCAAAAACCTGTGAGACTACTGTGATGATGAATGTGCAGCTACCGTGTGGAGTGCAGAATTTAACTTGGTTTGGTGATTCCAATGCCAGTCCTCTTGGCATACATTCCAGTTTTTTGTCTGAACTCAGGCTCTCTTGACATGAGATCTAGCATCTAAAAGGAAGCTTCAGGCGCATGAAGTGTGGGCACAATGAAAAGATGCCCCTACTTGGTTGGAGGAAGAATGTTCCTGGAATTAAAGTATGTCATTAAGGCATAGATTTGACAGTTTATAACACTGTGCTCTTGAGGGAAGTGAGTCACCCACTCTGCCCAGAAGTTCTATCACTTTGAAGTGGATAATCACAGCCTCTGGTCCAAACTCATACTTACAACTCTCGTTTCCTCTCTCCCTGTGTCCACCATAAGAATCGATGTCCATCGTAAAGAGAATGCAGGTGCTGCTGAGAAATCAATTACTATCCTTTCTACCCCTGAAGGCACCTCTGCGGCCTGTAAGTCTATTCTGGAGATTATGCATAAGGAAGCTCAAGATATAAAATTGTGAGTAAATGGAATTAACCTGTGAAGAGATTGATGTCCTTGCTCTGTAATTTTGACTTTCTATGACACAGTTCTTGGGAATTAACACAATGGGAAGAGCTGTCCTGGAGAGTTATAGTGATGAGCATTTTTGATTTTGTTGTTAAAGCCTATCTTTTAAATATTTCATTTATTTTTGGATATGGGGTGAGTGGTGCTCATGGGGTATGTCCAGATGTAGAAGGCAATGGAAGGACATAGGAAGCCCACCTAGTGTCCCAAAAGTGCCCCTGGGATTTACTCAAGGCACAGGCCCTTAGTTGTTACTCTGACTCAGAACTAATTCCACCTTTGTTCTTAGCATCTGCTTACCTCACCCTGTAGCAACTTGGAGTTTGGAGGTGAGGAAATCCCTGATCCTCCGCTACTTAATTGGAGATTGACTTGGGTGTGCCTGGTCGGAAATCTAAATTTTTGTCCCACAGGAACTTTGTATGGAGATTGGACTCTGCACTGCCTTGAGCATATAGCACACAGTGTGTGTAAAACTAGACCAGGGTAAGTGGCTGGACTGAGCGAGCTTCAGGATGTAATTACCAGCACTTAATTTGTAGATTCCCTGAAAATACAGAGTGTATTTTAATTGTAAGGACTTACCTTGTACCCTCTCTATTCATATGTTGCTAGTGTATAGGCTAATTAATGGTTAGGAAGTTTATAAACTCAACCTAGTATAACACTTCCGGTATTGTAGGTAGGAGGTAAATGTTTAATTACTTGAAATTGACTTTTTACCAAGAGTAGGTTTTGTTACCCAATTTCATGACCATTTTTAATTTACAGCACAGAAGAGATTCCCTTGAAGATTTTAGCCCATAATAACTTTGTTGGTCGTCTTATTGGTAAGGAAGGAAGAAACCTTAAAAAAATTGAGCAGGACACAGACACTAAAATCACAATATCTCCGTAAGTACTGCCTTGCTTTCTTTTGAATTAGAAAATGTTCATTGTTGTTGAGCTGAAGGGTATAGAATATCAAGCATAAGCTCTCCTATTTTATAGTGGTTTGAGAGTACAGTAAACCCTCAATGTCATCAGTAACTTCTGGAAAACTAAGTGAAATGAGGTATAGCAAAAGCAGTTCCCTACATGTTTCTTTATAACACTGATCAGGAAAAGAAAATCTTGACTGACACGATTGAGGGCATTAGAGGGCCTGCTATCTAAAGTGTCTTCTTCAGTTTATTGACTAGGAACATTTTTTTTTTTTTTGAAGATTTGTTTATGCATACAGAACTGGCCAGAGGTGCAGGGGGTGGTGAGAGGATTTGCCAGAGACAGAGTGGGGAGCAGAACAGACAGATTGAGGTAGTATACTGCAAGGGGAGCAGCGGCCAAGACAGAAGAGGTCTGCTGTGCCATATGGGTCAGTTCAGGGGCTGGGGATTGAACTCTCACTGAAGTGGCTGTGGCTAGCTTGCAGTGTTGTGCTTTAACCTGCTGTGTCACCAGGGAGGGCCTATGAACTGTTCTTTACCTACATTGTTATTTGTTCCCACTAGAGAGGCAAGAAGAACTAAATACATTCAATTCACATTTCCTAGCTGAAGTGTTGGTCAGATTTCCTGATACTTATTCCCAAAACTGGAATGTATAGCCCAATTTGTTACCCATTGTACATAAGACTATTCCAACATTTGACAGCTTATGGTAATAGCAAATACCTACTGATTACCTCGTTTCTGTGGCTCAGGAATAATAGGAGCACCTTACTGAGGTGGCTCTGGCTCAAGGTTAATGTTGTTGACAAGCCAGTGCTGGGTGTTGGTGGAGGCTTCAGTTCTTGCCACAGGACCTCTCCAAGGGCTGTTTGGGTGTCTTCAAACCATGGCTGCTGTCTTCTTCAGAGTACAGTAAGATGGAATTGGCACTGACTTTTATAACAGCTTGGAAGTTATCCTCTACTATTGTTCTAATAATGGTTACACAGATGAGCTCTATTTATTGTGGGAGGGGCTGCTGTTCCTCATTGGGAAGGAAATCACCTTGGAGGCTGGCTTGTACACCTAGGGTCCACAAATGCTCTGAAACTATATGGAAAGACTTTTTTTTTTAAAAAAGATTTATTTATTTATGCATACCGAACTGGGGTACAGGTCAGAGGTGCAGGGGTGGCGAGAGGCTTCACCAGAGACAGAATGGGGAGCAGAACAGGCAGATCGACAAAGTACACTGCTGAGGGGAGCAGCGGGTGGGTCAGGAGAGGTCTGCCATGCCATGTGGTCTCCTCCAGGGCAGGCGGGAATCGAACTCATGCGGAAGTGGCTTTAGCTTCTCAGTGCTGTGCTTTTAACCCGCTGCGCCACCAAGGAGGGCCAAAACTCCTCTTTTTCTTGGAGTGACTATCCTTAATTCCCATCAGACTACTCAAAAAAGAAGTTGGAAGAGATCTCTTAAGAGGATAGGGAATGACATATAGCAACGGGCTTTCAGTAGGGTGATGTTGGTGAGGAAGTAGGAAAATCTTGTAAAGAAGGAAAAAAATCAAAGTAGTAAATATAATAAGTGATCTTATCCCATTTCAAACTTTATGAGGAAGGAAAGGGTTTAAAACTAAAAATTCTGTTTTTAAAAGATTTATTTATTCACATAGAACTAGGGAATAAGCCAGAGGTGCAGGGGTGTTGAGAGGCTCACTAGAGACAATGGGGAACAGAACAGGCAGATCAACAAGTACACTGCTGAGGGGAGTAGCAGGCAGGTCAGGAGAGGTCTGCTGCACCATGTGGATCACCTCCAGGGTTGGGGACTGAACTGGCACTGAAGCAGCTGCGGCTGGCTTGCAGTGCTGTGTCCTAATGTGCTGCGCCACCCGGGAGGGTCAAAAACTAAAAATTCTTAAAAGCGGTTCTAGAAGCAACTGTTTTTACAAACATTAATACATAATGCTTGGTAGTGGTGAGAGTGGGTTGAGACTGAATATGAGAAGTGTAATTCTTTAAGACTTAGATGTCTGTTTTTAGCAAGTTTGAAAAACTCTTAAGAAGTAATAACACCCCCTTCACCCGGCCCAAGTTGAGTCTGCTAGTCTTCTGGTAGTGAAGATGAGTTTAACCCCAGGAATGTGGAAGAAAGCTGTACAAGCATCCCATAGACTTTCAATCTGGGTTCTGTCTTATTTTCCATGGTAAGTATTTCCCATTGTTTTCCCTCTGAAGCTTGTTGACTAGCTCCCATTTAGGTGGTCTCAGATGTCATCTGAGCGGACTTTGAAGCTTCAACAAGATATGGATAGTAGGGAGTCTCTGAATATTATGCTTGTATTCTAACTTTTTAGTTGTCTGAATAGTCTTTAAGGAATCATTTTTTAACTTAGACAAGATGGATTGTTATTTCCTCTACCCTACCGATCTAAATATAAAAAGTACTGCCAAAAATTGGGTTAGACACATGGATTCTTGGTTTTTGGAATATTTCCATGCTTATTCCTTGTCAAAATGCAATTGCACAAGAATGACCATCAAGTCTAGTGTGGTCAGTGCCAAGTAGGTATATATTTTGCACATCTGGCTCCTTGTTTCCACTAAAGCTATATATCCCTCCAATCCTGTTACTTACATTTCAGTTAAATTGTGAATATGGTTCAACCTGAAGCAGTCAAGAAGGAAATGATGGACTTAATTGAACTATGTACACCTTGTAATTTTTTTTAAAGTGGGAGAAGTATTTCCTTGCCTGCAGGTTTACAGTTCTTGGATTCATGTCTTTGGTGGTTTTTACTTTAAGCCTCACATCTGACTACCCACTTTCACATATTGGCAGCCTTCACAGTTGGCTTTTAACTGCCATCTGTGGCTGAACTATTACTAACTGCTCTCCTCCTATAGCTTCCATTCTTTTTCTTTCTCCCTGTTTTCAACCTGCAGGTTGCAGGAGTTGACGCTGTACAACCCGGAGCGCACCATAACAGTTAAAGGCAATGTTGAAACGTGTGCCAAAGCTGAGGAAGAGATCATGAAGAAAATCAGGGAGTCTTATGAAAATGATATTGCTTCTATGAATGTTAGTTTTTACATGGACTTTTTAAATTTTGATGACTAGTTAAAAGATGTTTCTAGTTCCATTAATGCCTATTTCCTTAGTGGTTTTGTTTCTAATTGAATTTTAGCACCACAGTTTGTCCTCTGGGATAGGGAGACAGGACTTTGGCTCTCTGTGATTTTTAGCAAGTTAAACTTTGAATGTTAGTTTCCTTATTGATAATACAAAAGTTGCCTACAAAAGTTAACTTGAGGGAGATTAGTGTCAGAGGAATAGAAGTATGTGAACTGGGTTTCAATCTCAGCACAGCCATTTAATAGCTGCAGCTCTATTCTCTTGGACAATCTGCTTGGTCTTTAAAATTGTCTACATTGCATTCTTATTAGGATTACAGTGGATAGCGTGCATATTAGAGCTACTATTATGAATACAAATTTAATACTTGATTTCCCATACAACCCTTGGATATAAAGAATTTCAAATGACAAAACTGTCTGTATCGTGCAATTAAGGCCATTAAAATGAATTACTGACATTCCTTAATGGATAAAATAGTGCTGGAAATGGAACCTTTCTAAAGTTCATCTTGAATTTTGATGTAAAGGATGAAAAAAAAAATCTGCAATTGGGCCTGTCACCTGAAATATTACACCTAAAAGAAGGAAATGTAAAAAACTGTATTATCTAGAGTGTTAATGATTTTCCCTTACTTGATTGCCGCCTACTTTCACATTTTTCACACCAATGGCTTAAGTGTTAGTTGGGAGTATATCAAGCCTTATAAGCCTTTAAAAAAGATAATCTTGACTATGCTCAAATCTTGACTTTAATCTCTACCTACCTTTTCACCTTGACAAAATTACAGCAAAACAAAAATCCCCTATCTGACGCTTGCATCCTTTCCTGAGAATTGTTTACTTGTAGCAGAACATGAGAATGGGAACCTCATTTCCAAAGGACTTGAGTTTGTTTTAGGCCTTTAAACCTATGACAGCCAAACTCGACCCGAGGAGTAAAGATCGCTTGATAGCTGGTTCTGTGTATCTGTGTACACCGTACATATTTATCTAAGCATGTGAACAGGTGGTGAAGAAGGGAAGATTGTTGTCTCTGCCTGGAGAAACCTAGCATGGGGGTTAGGGGAGTACAAAGAAGCACACACATTTTAAAATACCAAGAAATACAAACTGTATACCTAGAGTCACATGGAACATCTGCTTTATTTAAAATTTTGGTCATAAAGTGGTCTTTTTCTAGACAAGACTTCACAAGCACTGCTACTTATAAAATGCTCACTTATACTACATCTTTTACTTGTATAATAAGGGGTTTTTACCATTGCAGCTTCAAGCACATTTAATTCCTGGATTAAATCTGAATGCCTTGGGTCTGTTCCCACCCACTTCAGGGATGCCACCTCCCACTTCAGGGCCCCCTTCATCTATGACTCCTCCTTACCCACAGTTCGAGGTAAGATCACATGTGTGGCTTTCTTTATGGTTGAGTGGGATATTGTTGCTCTATAGTAAGTAGTGTGACATTAAATGCTATCTGAGAAAATTCTTAATGTAATACTTGACCCCCCACGTGATGTCATCAGTTGACAACTAGTAGACTTTGATTTGTCAAAAGAACTTTCTTATGTGCTTCTTCATAGAAGACATAGGGAATGTTTCCTCAGAAGTTTCTGGATGACATGACTGTTTGCATGTGTTATTAAATGTTGAAACAAATGTTGGAGACGTGGGGTGGAGGGGAGAAAGTTACTTTTAAATGTTAAAGAGGAAAGGATTTTCAGAAAGTCTTCCTTCATCTTTACTTCACCTGGAAATTAGTGCTTTAAAAGGTCAATAAAGATTGGACATGTTTTTTGAAGATAAGTACTTTTTAACAAGTGAATTCACAAATCCATTGTGTACTTGTGTGCACATGCTAAATAACTTTTTTGTAAAGAGGTAGATTATTAAAACATTTTTATATTTGTATTTTAAGAGTAGATTTTACCTCAAATGGAAAATAGATAGTTGTATTATGAAAATAATTGTAGCACAGCAGGTATCTTATAAAATACTTTAGAAAGTAACTCATAATTTGTGTATCAATGATAATTGGAGGTAGACAATCATGTGAAATAAAATTAACATTTTAATATCTTCGTGAAATCTGCTTTTACATCTTTCCTGTTTTGTCGCTTACATTTTTAGTGGTACCTCCTACGCCAATTTAGGGAAATGACCAGGTAGAATAGGTTGGAGGTAACATTGTCACAGTACCTCAATTACATGTGAAATAAAAAGCCACTAGAATTTTTCAGAAAAATGGATTGCTGGGATTTTCCATGTTTAATCCCTTTAAAAATGAGAATTTCTTTTGCCTATGCTTGAAGCCACCAGATTGTTAGATATTGCTGGCCCTGCCCTTTTTATGCTGTGTTTTTGCTTTTACTGTTAGCATTTGCACCTTTCCCTGCAATTAATTTGCCATTTCTAACATGTTTGAGCCTGCAAACTGGAAACATTAAAATGTCAACTCTGTATCAAGTGTGAATAGAATCACTGTACATTTTCTGACGCATAAGTAACTAAATCTTAAAAAAAAAAAAAAAGTAACTGTGTTAGAGAAGCTTTCATCTAACCTACATTTCTGCAGCCAACTAACCTAGTTTTTTAACCTATTTCCTAGTTTGTAAACTGAAGTGTTTTGACTTCTTTTCTTTACTGATTGCATGTATCAAAATCCATTAGGAAAGTCTGAGATTGGGCATATCACAGCATTCTCTAATCATATATCTTTTTAACATATGTCAATGCTTAGTTGCAAAAAATTCCAAAATAAATTGCTATGTAATTTTCTAGATACATAAATAAAGGAATGAATATTCTTTGGGTTTGTTCAGTTTTCTGATTTAATGACATGGTTCTATGTAATGGGCTCCTGTGTTTCTAGAAAAAATGTTTCAGTAGAAGAAAATATTATTACTCGTATTTTTGACAAACTTTACAACTTTAAATGTCTGAGTCACTTAAACATCAATTTTATGAATTGGAGAAAAAGATGAATGACCTTAACTATTATAAAAGTGAGCCAAGGGCCCTCCCTGGTGGCGCAGCGGGTTAAAGCACAGCACAAAGAAGCTTAAACCACTTCTGCATGTGTTCGATTCCCACCTGCCCCGGAGGTGACCACATGGTGCGGCAGACCTCTCCTGACCCGCCCGCTGCTCCCCTCAGCAGTGTACTTCGTCAATCTGCCTGTTCTGCTCCCCACTCTGCCTCTGGTGAATCCTCTCACCCTTTGCATCTCTGACCTGTACCCCAGTTCTGTAAGAATAAATAAATAAATCTTAAAGAAAAAAAAAAAAAGTGAGCCAGGAGTGAAGTGCAAGGAAGAGCTCACTAGAATAGTTGGTACTTTGCTTCTCCTGAGATTTTTTTAAAACTAAATCAAGTACTACCAATGAGATGATGAGAAAATACATTAGTGTCTAGCAGTAAAAGCAGAAAAGACTGCAAAAGGGCACAAGCTTGACCCTAAAAGGGTGTGATGGTTTCAAAGGCAGTGAAAAGAAATTCTCACTCTTTTAAAAGGGATAAAATGTACTTTTTTAAACAAAAAAGCTTTATTTACTTATGCATACAGAACTGGGGTACAGTCCAGAGGTGCAGGGGTGGTGAAAGGATTCACCAGACACAGAATGGGGAGCAGAACAGGCAGATTGATGAAGTACACTGCTATGGGGAGCAGTGGGTGAGACAGGAGAGGTCTGCTGAGACAGGAGAGGTCTGCTGTACCATGTGGGTCACCTCCAGAGCTGGAATGGAACGCACACCCAAGCCAACCACGACCAGCTTTGTGCTTTAACCCATTGCACAACAAGGGAGGGCCAAAAATGTGGTACTCTTAGTGATCCTTGTTCTTAGTGATCCTTGTTCTTTGCAGAATTCCATTTAGCATTTTACTGTATATGTACTAGAGAGTCTATGACAGCATCCCCAACTTTATGCCTGAACATTCCCTAAAATGATGTAAATGTTAAGGCAACTGTATTCCACTTAGCTGGCAGGGTTGGTAAAGTGTATATCACGTTTTTGAAGAGGTATATAATGTTGTGATTCTTCTGTAGTTTTAAATCTACTAATTTATCCTCTTTTTGGAATAGACCTTAAAGAACATGCCAGGAATTATCTACAGAACTTAAAAGTGGAAAGGAGACATCCTTCTATAGTCTATCTTTTCTGCCAGGAAGAAAAATTTGTTTTTGTGGGTTTAAAAATATGTGTTCACAATGATCTTTCCTCTTAGGAAGACATATAATCATGTCTTGAACATTTTTGGTAGGTACTTTTAACAAACTATAGTTAAAGAACATTATTGATGTTCTTTTCTCAAGGACATTCACTTGATGTTAACTACAGTATCATTGCTGTTAACTAGGACATTTGGCACAATGCTACTAATTAATAATCTTTAAATTTCTATATATATGACCCCAAAAGTTTCCTTAAGGAATCCAATCACAGATACAATGGCATTTAGTTATGTGTCATGTCTTTTTAGTCTCCTTTTTTATCTTTAACAATACTCCACACATACACATACTCTTTTCTCCCCCTACATATCATTGGAAACCCAAATTTTATATATATTATATTGTTCTTTTTTGCACAATGCTTGCTTTTTCTTTTCAGGTGTAAATCTGCAAAATTCCCATCACCAATTCACCTGTGCACCATCACCAGGTCCCTTGTGTAAGAACACATTCCCTCCCATTTTGATCTTTCTCCTTCCCCTACAGCAACTCTGATTAATAGCTGCCAGTTAGTTTTGTTTTTTGATTTATTATAATTTTTTTTCGTAGTCTCTGATTCCACTACACTTCTCCTGAGTCAAACCATCTGATAGTTTTCCTTTCTTATTTCACTGAGCATAATCCAAAAAACCCAATGGTTTTATAAAATATCCCCTAATTTGGATTTGACTAGCTGCTTCTACATGATAAGGCTCAGGTCATACATCTGGGGGTAAGATGGAGGGAATAGTTTCTCAGAGTGTGGAATCAAAGAATGTCAGTGTATCTGATTATTTATTAGTCATGTTTATCTGATCTTAAGATTCTAGTAGTGTCTACCCAATTTCTCTGTAGTAATGAAACTTCTCCCACTTATTAAGACCTAGTCAGTAGTTTGAGAATATGTACCTTGTTCCCCAATAATTGTTTAATATTCATTACTGACATTGGCCTAAACTATTATTTTCACTTTACATTTATTAATTGGCAATCTGTTGTAAAGTGCAGCTTTCTCTACTCCCTGCTTAAGGGAAACTTATTTTTGTTATTTACATTAGAATTACCAGACCTACTGAATTATAGAATTCCCTAGGACAGAGGTTAAGACCAGTGTATAGCCAAGGCTAACTAACAGCTGCTCTGTTTATTAACTAGTTAAGAACCTGTAGCCTACCTTGAGTTTGCATGAATCGAAATTTTTGATGGAGACAGAACTACAGTTCTTTTGTTGTTGTTATGTAAAGAACTACCCTTTTGCAAAGAATGTTTATTAGCCTGTGGGCTAAATGTTGCAAAGAATATCTCCTGTCAAGATTAATGCATAAGATACAATATTTGGGATTTGCATAAACATAGACCACTGTTGTATGTCCCTCTTTCTAGCTTCTAGTTCAATGCTCTATTTTAAAGTGTACTGAAGAAGCACATCCCTTTTTCTCCAGACCACTGCCAGTCCAACTCATTGGCAAATGTCAGTCAAAAAAAGTTTGAGATGTTGCCATTATGTGCTTCTAAATATGTTTTGGCATGGCACATCTATCAGAATTAGGTTTGGCTGTGTTACACAGGAGGGGGTGGGGGGTGGGTAGGTTTAAATGAAGTTTCTTCTTCCATGTGAAGACCAGAGTGGAGACAGACAATTCTGGGCCACTAGATTTCTACCATACCATCTAGCATTGGTGCTCTTGCTTGCTGAGCACCGTCTCTTGGCTCAGGATACCTGGTCAAGATCCAGTCATTGAGTCTAATTCCAGACAGCAAGGATGAAGGATCAAAAATTGACAGCTCTCTCTCACTTAAGGATAATTCCTGAAAAAAATTTTTACTTTCCATTGGTGTACCAGAACATAACACCTGGCCATACCACCTGTGAAAGAGCTTATTACTAAATGATGAATAGATAGCTGTTTGCCTCTATCCCACTGGATATAGCCACATTGCTGGATAAGGGGATCCCCAGAAACCTGGGAGGGATGAGGTAAATTTTTAAGTTTTCTTTCTTTTTTATCAATAAAGGAGGAATCTAAAATCGGGGGAAGCAAATTCATCTTCCAGTTTATAGTACTGTAGATTATTCTGATCTAAATTAAGGGAAAATGACATTACAGATTATTGTACTGCATTGCTGGATATCGTTAAATTCTACTTAGAAATAGCTGTTAAGCACCTTTCTGGTTTGATG